TTAGCGGATCCGTCAGCCGTCTCGTCATCCATGTCTTCATCGTCTGACACTTCATTATCGTCGAGCAGTTCCGCGAACTCGTCGGCCGACGCGAACACAGCGTTCGTCATGCGATCGAAACCCTGTTTATTGCGTCCTTTAGGCTTCGCTACCTTTCCCTTTCGGTGGACGTCCTCTTCGTCCGACTCTTCACCAAATGCTTCCTCCATATCCTCGTCGACGCCATCGAAAGCGTCGGCAAACTCGGGGTCGTCCGCATCGAAGTCCAACTCGTCGTCGTCTTCGCCGCCATCGGAGTCACCGCCGAAGGACTCGTCGTCATCGCTATTATGACTGTCGCCATCACTCTCTTCATCGCTTCCTTTGCCTTTCGACTTATTCTTCTGATTCTTTTGTAAGTCTTTGTGAAAATCTAAGTCCCGTTCCTTTCTGGACATCGGCTCCAATCGATCCAACAGTGACTCAAACTCAAGACTCGTGACACTATCGGCGTCGTCGTCGGCCTCTTGACTGGCCATCGATTGTCTTTGTTTCAGATAATTATAAATAAACATCTCGTCTAATGGCACTCGAGTGGCCGATTGGTTCACATAATCTTTGCTATTAATATCGGGCCGTACGGCAGTCGGATCGCCGTCACCGGTGCTGTCGGGCGCTTGCAATCGACCAAAAACGCGACTTTGTGTCGATGTTTTGGCCAACTTTTTCTCCAACTTCTTGGGATTTCTAAACGCGAATTTATCCAAAAAGCGTTTCACCGAAAAATCGGTCAACGGATCGCCCGAATAGTCGACGCGTTCGTTATCCACAATCTTTTGGGCAAACAATTGAGTCGACGGATGAAAATTCTGTAGCATAAGAGTCAACTCCCAGAGGGCTGTCTGGTCGGCGCTGGCGAACAACGGGTTACGAGCGCTCGGGTCGTATTGGCTACTCTTTGGTCGATTTGTGTCCAGATTTCGGTTGTGAACCCACGAAACGGCCGGTTTCTTCTGGTCAGCGGCCATCGTCTCCACCTCTGGCTCACTGTTGGCCACATTTCCGTCCATCTCTTCGTCATCGCTGAGCGGCACGTCTTCGTAGTGCTCCTCATCGTCCGACTCATTCGCATCCACTCCGTTAGCGACGGTATTGTTGCTGACGGGCAACGGTTCCGTCACTTCTCGATGCAATACTAAACCCGGTTTCGATTGAATCACTTCCGATATCAACAGTAATATAGATGTGGCCACTGATGACGATTGGGTTAACGCTATCTATAAACAGACAAATAACACTTAGTTTATAGACCAATCATAGACTCAGTCAACGCCAATGGCATACCTGAAGAAGTCGTTTAACAAAAGCTTTGACACGCCTTAAGACCGGATCCCGTTTCATAGCCCTATAAACCAGATTCAAGAGCATCGCCTGTCGACTGCACCGATCGAGCTGTACGTCCAACAGTTGCCGATAGAGTACCGAATAGAACCGATCGGTAAGAGTTCCCGTCTGTTGGACATCGAGTATATTGAATATGAGACACAACGCCTGTATAGCGGTGTTCTCGTTGACGAAATGGATCAGCTTATAGAATGTCTGCAAATGATCCTCCATTAGAGTGGTGTCCAGTTTAGAGTAGGGAAAGGCACGGCTCACTCCCGTCAAGAGAACACTCATCATCTTGTTCTCGATGTCTCCGCGACGACAACACGACTTAAAAAAGCCGAAATACAGTCCAATGAGTCGATTGGGCAGCGAGTGATCGCCGGTCGCGAAGATCACTTCACTCAGAAAGCAGAGGCCGTAGTACTGCGCGCGGGCGCCGATGTTGGGCCGGTAGAGCACGCGCTCCACCTCATCGACTACCACAGGCTTCATCATCGGGTGGTGACGATTGATCAGTTGGTTCAGTAAATGCGCGCTTTGGGCGGCCATACGGGGCAACGGATCGCCCAATTTGTTGCACAATTGGGACAACAGGTACTGTTCCTGTTCGGCGTTATTCACCAGAAGGTCAAACACTGTCGTCAAAGACTTATGTTTAGTGGTCTCGAGCGGGTCGTGACCGACGGCCACAACACTGTCAATGAACTGGCGGTACAACTGTTTGAGTCGATCCTCAAACAGGCATACAATCAGATGTCTGGCCCGAGATTTGCGCTCTCTTTTGCCCCGTTTATCGTCAAACAGTTGAACTAATTCGGCAAATGTCCGCAGCTTTCGGTCCGGAATCAGCAGATCTCCGATCAATAGGTCGCGAAGAGTGTCCACCGCTAGTATGCACTCGCGTTTGGCTTTGTTTGACACCATTCCCAGCATCTGTTCCAACGAACGGAGATTATGAACGGCTGAGTCCTGTATGAGTACTGTATGTGCGGACAGTTTGTCGGTCAAAGTGCCGCTCTTCAGAACCGTACGAATCCATTGCCAATCGTCGGCTTTGGCTCCGGTGGCCGTCGACTGTAACTCGTGATACATCTC